ATTAAGAACTGGAATAAAAAACTGAAATTGATAAATTACAAACAAGAAATATACTGAACTATAACGGAACAATACTGAACACAACTTAAATCGTTAAGTTCATCGTTCGGAGTGAACTATACTGGACATGAAATTAGTATCTGAAATTAGTGCTATGTGGTGATGTTTTTTCCTTTTAATACTCATCGGATTACTTTCCAGTTTTCTGGAATTGTAGGTGCTGCTCTCATCCGTTGAGTAACTCTAGAAGTGAGCAAGTGCCACCGGTACTATTTGCGATTTTTTTATGAGTGCTTATAGTCCTATAACTGGTTCCTTACATGTATCATTTTTCATTAGTGTTGAATAGCTCTTCTTTACCCCCCAAAAAGACAACTTGTGGATTTCTGCTATTTCTTCAGATATTTTACCTGTATTTAATTTTTGGATGGATAGGTGGAAGCTAAGAAGCAAACTTTGTCCTCATTTGATGAGTTGTTGGAGAAGGAGAAGTCTGAGAAGCCTTTATTATTTAACTTCTATGCAACTTGGTAAGTCACTTACTGGAAGTAGTAGTGAAAGTGCCGGTCCCAAATGTGATGCTGAGCTAGTTCAGTACTCTCTACTAGATATAAGTTCTCTCCATTATTGTTGTGTTTTTAGGACTTTGGTGTGTTTTCATGTTCCTGTCGCTGGGCTGTAATGGCTAGCTGATGAGCATGAAAACATGAAGCCTGAGCAAGTTGTTGCTACTACTCGATGTGAAACACAATAGTTGCAGGAAACAAAGGAACAAACGAGCCAATATGATTGTTGTTATAGATCGATGGACTGCACAACAAAAAAATATAAACACTACCACACCTAACTATAGGTGTTTAGCTAAACTGCACAGATCAATTGCAATAGGTGGTAAGTAGTGCATGTTCACTGACTAAAATATATATGTGATACATGAACACTTATCACCCTTTCTTGTAATGCTAGCATCAAAATTAAAATCTAGCAAAAAGTAATGTCAATAGCATTTGAGTAGCTTGCCATAACAAGATAACTGAATGAAGTTTCATTCTTAAGTAACTTGCCACAAAGAGATAATCTAAATCGCTAGAGAAAATTGGGTACACTATGATAAAAATAAGAAACTAGGGGATTGCAGAATCATCAATAACAACAGCAAGGATAAACCAAAAATTGCAAACCCTAGGTGACATGACAGAAGCTTATATAGCAACATAAAAAGGCACTGCAGGAAGAACTGAAGGAATAGGATTTGAGGTGTACTCATATCGAACACAACGCTTTGAACAGACCGCAACAGCGGGAGAAGCAACAAGAAGGGATCTGTAGAACAAAGCACAACGGGGGCGTGGCTGAGAAGAAGACATACCAGCTCGGTTCGACGGCGGCAGGACAGAGAGCGGTGGCGAGACCTAGAGTGGTGGAGGGACTGAGATTGGCGCTTAGCATGGCATCACCGGGCGACGGCTGCGACCGAGCAAAATGGTGGAGCATCTCGGCTTCTACGACTAGGAGTGCCATGACCACAGCTTGCTCGCTCATCTCGTCTCGGACATTGATTCCGGCCTTCCGGGTTTGAGCATGAGTCTTGAACGGAGGAGGAGGAGACGCTGGATTGGGGTTGGTGCTTGGGGCTAGGGAGGCGAAGGCCAGTGCTGGGCCGGCCCGTTGCTGAGGGGTGTCGCGCGGTGGAGACCGAGCGCGACCGGTCGCCTGATAGACTTTACGTTAATACAATCCTTCTTTCGTCTAAAAAAAGGTGGGCTTTGGTGAGTCTTGGAGGAGCATCTTATTTTTCCTTAACTGTAGAGAGATCTTATATTTACCATCTTTTGAATTTATTGGTCGGCACCAATATGTGATTTTTGGGTTTTGGGAGAGAGTTAATTCACCATTTCACCTACAATACTTTATAATATAGGACAAATATTGAGTTCTTAAGTACTTTTATAATTAAAATTCCTCCTCGTTTTATTCCTGGCTAGATAACAGAGATTCTATACATATAATATATGTTTTACAACACGTATTTGAACTAACTAACACACTTGTAGGGATGCTATATATACTTCATCTTACTATTACTAATTAGAGGCCCAACGGAGGCACCACGTTGATTCTCACCAAACATGTTAGCAAAAAAGATAAATCCTAGAAATTCTCACAATAATCAGAAATATTTGTCCTTTAATTTGATAGACTATAATCATCAGCACCGATATTAGCCGTTGGATCTATTGTAGTTTATTAAAAAAATTACCCACCACTACCATTATAAACAATACATAAAGTAACCTCCTAATTTTGCATGTAAATTACCCACCTCTGCCATTACAAAAGATAATTAAAAATAGCCCCTTATATTTTTATAGAAATTACCCATGTCTGCTATTATGAAAAATAATTCAAAATAACCCCTAAATTTGCATCTAAATTTCCCACCATAGCCATTATGAAAAATAATTTAAAATAACCCTCTAACATTGCGTCTAAATTACCCAGCTTTGTCAATATGAAAGATAATTTAAAATAATCCGCTAACTTTGTATCTAAATTTACCCACATCTACCATTGTCAAAAAAATTACCCGCATCTACCATTATGAAAGATAATTTAAAATACATCCTAATTAAAGATAATACAGAGTAATATTCTAAGTTTGTATTTAACCTATTCATATATGTCGTTGTGAAAGATAATAAAAGGTATTACCTTTATATTTGTGTGTACCTTAGCCATTATAAAAAATACGCAAAAAAATTCTAAAATCTACACATAAATAGAAATATATATTATTAGAAAAAAATTAATTCAATATAATAAAGTATTATATATACATATCTAAATTAATTACAGAGTTATGTAATCATGAAATAAAATAACTATAATGTTATGTTCCACCATGTATGTCAAATAAACATGTATTCATTTGGATAAATATTTATTTTAATAACTTATGAAACATGGAAAATTGTTCAGTTAACAAACCAGGTAGCAATAACACTCTATATTAATACTCCATGATAATAAATTTCATAAATTATTATTTTACATAAGTTTATATATTTTTACTGAAACATTGTGTCAATATTATTAATTTAATTTTATGCACTCTATGATATATATAAATAAAACTACACACATATAATCATGTGATATAACAAGTGTCAGGATGCAAGCCAAGTTTCAACTTATATGGAAAACAGTACTCCTAGGATATAGACTCTTTTAAATAAAAATCAATTTTTAATAAAATATAAAGAATACTAGAATATCTAATTAACATGTAAAAAAATTGTAGCTTAATTAAAAGTTAAAAGATAAACTATAGGTTTATCAAGAGTTTATATATCTCAGGACTAGATTTCAATTAAATACATATCACGCCAAAAAAAAGATAAATACTAGAAATTTTAAGTAGAGGTCCCCACTAGGGCCTGCATGTTAATCCTCACAAGACTTGATTTGAAAACAAAAGATAGATCTTAGAAATTCTCATAAAAGTCTAAAATATCTTACCATCAATAATAATAATAGCTATTGGATCTATTCTATTTTCTAAATAACTATCCTTTTGTGCTATCTTGTAAAACAATATAAATGACTCTAATTTATGTTACCCCTATATGTCATTAAAAAACATGATCTAAAGTAGACCTAAATTTGCAATTAAGTACCGACGTCTTCTTATTATGATCGATAAATTACGTAACTCAATGTTCATCTAATTATTAGAAAAATTAGATGCCCCCAAAATCTGCATCTAAATTATCAACATCTCCTATTATTACAAAAAATTGCTTAGATCACAAATAGATCGTGTATATGTTTCCACATTACAAACCTCTATCAATATTAGTATAGTACGATTGGATTAAAGTAAATATATGGATCGTGCCAACATGCATGAGCTACAAAATACATTTGTTATGTTTCATCACACAAATAATATTTTTTAATAACTCAAATCAAATGATACTAACAAATTATTTAAAACCACATTAGTAACCATAAAATACAATTTAAGAGATTATTACTTTAGATATATTTATGTATTTTAACTAAATATTTGACATGTCTATATTGATAGTATAACCATAACTGTAAATATAATTCCTTGATAGTAAAATTCAATCATCTTTAGAAGTGTGGGAGACCACTGGTGGCTATATTTTTTGGCCCTTTAAAAACACTTTAGAGTAAAAATTGTTCATTACAAAGTTTAAGTATTAAAATTCTCTTGACGTTAGCACTGCTACCTCAGTCCGAGATCTCACTTCAAGCTCTATGACTTATATTAAGCAATATGGTGCATGCTTCAAATAATGGCTTATGCTATTGTAGTACTTAAGAACATACTCTACGATCTAAAATCCTTATTTTAAAAAGTGTAAAAAGAAGAGTTAATGAAATATACAATAAGCACAAGAGTTTCAAATTAACATGACGAGAGAGAAAAATCCGTAGGAGTAGATAAGAATAAAATTTGAAAAATCAAAATTTAAATTCATTACTTCATAAGATATACGAACATGGTGTAACAAGAGCCACCATAATTAATGGTAAGGTTTCAAAGTAATTGCATATTTAAAATATATAGAGGTGCCATGCAAAGAAAAAATATGAATATGAATAAAAATATATAGATTAGTCCCTTGAAGAAATAATAATTAATAAGTTTATGATAACTATATATTGGCTACAGAGTATCTATTATGTCTACTATGTTAGAAAATAAATAAAGAGAAAATATACAATTTAATATAAGTAATTCTTTAGTAGTCGGATGTACTCTCTCCATTTCAAATTATAAGACGTTTTGAGTTTTCTAATTACATATCTTTTGATTCACGTACATGTACAGTCTACATACATAGTAAAAATAATATATTTAGAAAAGCCAAAATATCTTATAATTTAGAATAAACGGATAATTAAACAGTACCTAATAATACCTATATCCGCTAAATTCTAAGCCATGCGTTGATGGACTAGTTTTTCTAAAGGGGAGAAGGTGCAGGTGAGGTGGCCAGTCGCACCACCTCGCTGTCGGACTTTGCACGTATAAAAAGAATAACGACGTACGCTGATAAACTTGTAACCCAAAACACAATCAAGTTGAGAACGATAGCGCCGGCGAGCGGATACTGCCGCTTGATGACGTGCGGTGCTTTCAATCGCTTGTACTGACGTAGAAACCTCCAGACTGTGCGTACCCCAGTGTGAGGCCCGATCCACTTGACGATGAACATGGTCAGGAAATGGATGGCCGTGTAGATCGCCAACAGCACGTAGAAGAAGGCCTCTCTTGCGCTCACCACGGCTGTCAGCGCCGCGAAGAAGGCCAGCAAAAGGCTCACGAGCGACACCCACATGCAGTGCAGCGCCAGCACAAAGCTCTTCCACGAGCCCGCCGAGCGCGACGCCTTGCCGTAGACGAGCAGGACCACGGCGACCACGGACGTCGCCACCGCCACGGTGTCCAGGCAGAGGAACCACTTGAAGAAGAACTTGCGAGCGAGGGTGGCCTCGCCCGTGGTGCCGTTGTACCCGCCGGGCAGGTTGAACCCTGCGGCGAACGCGGAGGAGGCAATGAGCACGGCTACTAGGGCGAGGCTGTCGGAGGTCTTGTCTATCCCCTGCCACCCCGCCGCCGTAGCCGCGTCGTTGCCGCCGCTCCACCTCCACGGCTTCAGGTGGTCCTGCCTCTGCGGCCGGAGCTGCGCCCCGTAGGCGACCAGTGTCACCACCAGGCTTACCATGGTGAAGAAGTTGGTCGATCCCGCGGCGAGATCGAAAGCCGTGTTCCCGTCGTTGTTCAGGACGTTGGTCCTCACCTTGCCCTTCCGGAGCAGGTCCTTCACGACGCTGTGCGCGCCCGCAGCCACAGCGAGGTGGAGCGGCGTGTTCCCGTCCCTATCCTGCGTGTCTAGGTGGCCGCGCTGGAAGGCGGTAGTGGTGGCTAGAGCCACCACGTTGGAGCGCTTCTCCCTGGCCGCGGTGTGCACGAAGGTCCTGCCGTCGTCGTCACGGAGCTCGATAGCGTCGGGGCATCTCCGTACCATTTCCACCACTATGCCGGCGTGGCCCATTCGCGCCGCGACGTGAAGAGCTGACTGACCGCCCGAATCCTTCTTATACATCGTTCGCGTCGGGGCGCGGTGCTCAGGATTGCGCGCACGATGGTGAGGTCGCCGTTGGACGACGCGAAGTGGAGCAGGGTGCTGCCACTGGAGTCGACTTGGTCCACCAGTTCCGGGCTCCATTTCAGTAGCAGCTCAACCATTTCTGTAGGTGGCCAGCGTTAGAATTTATATATAATTCTTTTTCGCAAGTCTGTCTCAAAAGATGTTTTCTCGTCCAAAATCTATAATTACTAACATTTATGATATCAAATAAATATTATTATAATAATTATGATGTACTTTATAGAAAATCTTTAGTATTTGGAAAACTTAACTTTAATCAAAACTAGAATTGCATTTTTAAGATAACTTTAATCAAAACTATAATTGCATTTTTTAGTATGGTACAGGGTAATCTCTCTCTCCTATAATCCTCAACCCACTGACATTCTTCCTCTACCTGATGCTGTAATCTGTCAGCCTCATCAACCCACTAGCACTAATTATTATAACTCACTAGCACGTGCATTTGTGATATGCACGCCATCCACTAGCATGCATTTAGGTGTCTACATAAGCATGCTACATCATCCATTCACATTAATTTATAATGATTTATTCTTTTATATAAGTAATTATATGTAATCCAATTTCATTCTAAATCATATGTAATTTCCGCAGCAACACGCAAGATATGCTTCTAGTAATCTTTATACTATGCACCCAATGCAACAAGAACCATGATCATTAGGGTGGGACACGACTTAAAGAAAAGATGCCAACAAGAACCTAACCTGTGCTGTGGAAAACGGCAGCGTGCAGAGCATTCTGCGAGCTCGGCCCGGCAGATGACGCGGCCCGGCATGTCGTAATCGCTCTCACAGCTTCCAACGACCCGCTGATTACCGCCAAATACATCGCCGACACGCCTGCGTTGTTCAGCTCCGCCGCCTCCATGACAAGCGCCTCTACCGCAGCGCCATGCCCGTGCCTCGCCGCCAGGTGCAGGGCCGTGTCCCCTGCCTCGTTCTTGCATCCCAGGATGCTCTCGCCGCAGTCCCGGGCCAGCTGGGCGAGCATCTTGACGGCCGTGGCGTGCCCAGCCCTTGCCGCGGAGTGCAGCGGCGTGTCCAGCGCTAAGTTCCGGCGAGAGAGCAGGCCCTGATGATCCCGGAACCTGAGGCACAGCTCCCGGATCAGCTCATGGTGCCCTTGCGCCGCAGCCACATGTAGCACGGTGTTCCTCCCAGCAGTCACCTCGTGTATGCTGCACTGTCCATGCTTATAGATGCCTGAAAGAGATAAAATACGCAAATTATTAAATAACCAAGATTATTGGTCACGGACTCATGGTTCTACCAACCCCGTGGTCCCGTACAAGCCAGAGAAGACATAAGACGTGTTTGGGACCGCGTCAAAACAATCATCAGCATGGAGAATCAGTGATGTTTGGCAATCTTGATTATTATAGCAATCGGGAGTATAAAATGACATTTATGCCTTTCTTCAAATCACCATCCGTTTTGTGTTCATTACTATGCAGGGAGGCGCCTCCATCCTCGGACTGAGTGGAGGCGGGAAGAAGATAGGGAGCTGACAGGAGCCACGAGCTCCTACGCCTCCGTCGAGGGTGTCTACGACCTAGCGAACAGGGCGAGTCGATGAAGTAGATGGGAGCGCCCCTCACCGAGAGTAGTGTGGGGTCGCCTCCTACCCAGCGCAAAGGTCCACCTCCACAGCGCAGGGAAGCGGACGGGAGCACCGTGGGTAGCAGAAACTGAGTGTCGACGGCTGGGTGAGGCAGAGCGGAGGGGTAGTTGGGGGAAAATCTCGCGGTGGACAAAACGCCGGTGCTAGTTGAAACCTGAATTGTTTTGATCGCCTGATTCCCAAACAATAAAAAATAATCGAGTCCGTTTGAGTGGGATTCTCGATTATTTTCATTTAGAATCCGGTTATAAGCAGTCCCAAACATGTCCATAAACACTAGTTATTGTTTATTACATCGACTAATAAAAATTACTTATATTAAATTCTAACACGATAGGCATAATAGGTACTCCTACACTGTAGTCTCTATTCAGTTATTCCCTTTCCTTGGTATCTCTGTATTTTCAATATGCATGTAGTTTAGCTTATAAACTATAATGGTTCTTATGATGTTCTGAATCTAAAATTTGATTTTCAAATTTTAATCTTATAGATTGCTATAGATAATTTTTAATCTCAATTAAGTTGAAACTCTTATGCTTATTATATATTTTATTAACTCTCCTATGCAATTCTTTTGAAAATAAGTATGTTGGGTCATGGACATCAGTCATTTTAAAACTTGTACCCTGTCACAAGATTAGTGGTAGAATTTGAAGTCAGATCTAGGATAAGGTAGCAATGCTAACCTCAAGATCATATTAATATTTGAGCCTTGTTATTATTGGTTACTCTAAAGAAATCTCAAAGACTAGAAGGATGGCCACCTGTGGCTGTAGTCTGCATTAACCTCCCCTCCTCCACTTCTCAAGATGTTTGAATTTTTTATCAAGGAATTAAATATAGATATGTCAGACATAGTTCAAATGTATAAATATGTTTAAATTAACAACTTACAAAAATTATATGTCATATTTATCAATATAATTTTAAATAATTTGATAGAATCATTACTATATGAGTAGTTATGGAAATATTTTTATGATTGTGAAAACATATATTCATGGGTTAATTTATATTGCTTTATATAATCGTAGAGGTGGGTAATGATTTTGGAAATAGAATAGATTCAATGTGTGATTAGATCAGAGGCTACCAAATTGATGACCAGATGTTTCTATTCTTGTGAGAATTTCTAAGTTTTATCTTTTGTTTTTATATGAGTTCTTGTGAGTATTAACATGGAGGAACCATCGATGACCTCTAGTTATAATTTCTAGAATTTATTTTGTTTCTTCTAGTGCGAGATGTAGACAGCTAAACCTAATATTGATGTATATAATCTCTTGTTACATCACTTTATGTGACGTCGTGAACCTGAGTTTAGCTTTTGACTAGTATATTTGTTGCATCATGTTCAGGTAAAACTCCATTACTTATTGTATCTTTTAAAATTTTATTTTTTTATTTCATAAAACAAGATTATACATCCTAGGATACCCTCTTAGTTCTTTCAATGGCACAAATTGTCCTTCCAACTTGCACCATGACACTTAGCATACATAATTTTTTATATCATAGAATTATATGTGTAACAATATTTATAAAACATAGAATGCTTAAAATTATATTACAAATACTAATATGACATAATGTTTTGGTCAAAATTGTATGCACTTATTTAAAATAAAAACTTTTAAAACTTATTATCATGCACTACTAATATAGCTTAAAGAGTTGAAGTGAATTGCTAGTGTTATTACTATATAGATTCTAAGAGAACATTTTTCCACACTTGATAAGCTACTAAAATAAATATTTATTCTAATGTATACGTGTCTATTTAATCTATTTCATGGAACATAGCATTATGCTTACTTTGAACTTAACCGTTGTAGAGTGTGTAAATTAGAAATATATATCATACTTTGTGGATATTAAATTATCTTGCCTAATAGCTTATATTAGTATTTACATATAGATTTCAGAGATACTTTTGTTTATTTTATAACAGATGTGGTGCTTAATTTAGATACAAAATAAAATGTTTAATTTAGGAGTAAACTTAGGGGTGTTACTTTTCATTATCATTCATAATGTCAAAAAGTGGGTAATCTATAAAAAAGTACTAGGGTCATTTTTTAATTTATATTTCACAATGATATAGAAGGTAATTTAGATACAAAGTTAAGGAGCTATTTTGAATTATCTTTCGAATGGCGGATGTGGATAATTTAGATGCAAACTTAGAGGATTATTTTGAATTATCTTTTTGTAATGATAGAGGTTGGTAATTTATATAAAATTTAGAGGTTATTTGAATTATCTTTCACATGGCGGAGTTGGGTAATTTAGATGCAAATTGGGGGTATTTTGGATTATCTAACATAATGACATAGATGGGTAATTTATAAAAAAAATAAGGGTTATTTTGAATTATCCTTCCTAATTGTGGAGGTGGGCAATTTAAAAAGATCCGATGGCAATTCTTGGTGATGATGATTATAATCTAACAAATTAAAACAAATTGTTCCTAATTATATTTTGTCAAAATTTCTAGATGTATCTTTTTCTAGCATGCCTAATGAGAATTAATGTGGAGATTTTGTTAGTCCCCTAATTTCTAATAGTAAGATACAATGAGCCCAACCCGGTCAAATTAAAATGTCGATTTCCTCGCAAAAAAAATTAAAATGTCGATTGTTTTTTGGTTTGCTGAATGTTAGGTGTAAGTGGTATAGTACCCAGGATTTTATATGCAGGACAACCAATTTCTATCATGAAATCACTCATCCATACTGCCCTCAACATGTGGGCTCTCTTCTTCCACGATGCTGGGCAAACTTTATAAGTCCCATGACGGCTTATTTAAATTTGAACATTAGTTTGAATAGAAAAGTTTCTACAAATTTATCATGAGGATACAGATAGAAACTAACTTCATATCAAATTATAGTTTTTAATGAAATCTATAACTTTGGATTTATTTCTATTTGAAGTTGTTTACATGTGTGCAAATAATCTACCAAAGTTTTGAAAAACAAGGTTGAAAGGAAAAAATATTACATTGCTATCAGCAATTTATGTGGGGTCTGAGGCTAGTCTATGAGAATTTTATGGGTTTAAATAAGATGACATGGTATAATATAGATGAAGGAGAGATAATAAAAGTTCTATGAGATAAAATGAGTTTCATGGTGATAAAATTTATAAACACTGTTTTTCTTTTACATACATAGGAGAGTGTTACAAGCGGGACATGAAATCCCCAATCGAGGCTGGACAAATCTCACCAATTGTGCGTTGAAAAACATTGCGAGCCTACAGGTGTCTCAATAAACACAAACGCATGCACGCCATCAAGACACACAAACACTTCTTTGTCTTGTTTTCTATGTGAAAAAAAGGGTCGTCACAATTGCATTAATTAGTAACAAAAACAAATTTATATATCCTAACTAACCTATAGTTCTCCATTAGACATGCATGTA